TGTCGGAGTTACGTCCCCTTGTCATACGTTCTCAGACTTTTCATCCCACTGTTTCAGGCGGAGATGTTTAGACGTGTCTCATACCACAGCCAGCTAATCGCAGCTGAAACGGCGTGAGACGTTATCTATGTTTCGATCCTATGTCTGTCCCAGATCAAATACACGTCACAGGTTGACGAAACATGCCCAAGTTCAAGCTGAAGGGGGACATTACCGTCAATCATCACATCTAGCATAAGGTGTGTCAAAACACATGGACAATTCCGAACATGATCATTTCCCCACAGGCCAATTCCCCACTCCCACAATCCCCCTGACATTTCTCAACACGGATGTTCTCCACATTGAATATACATATAATATAAAACAGACAGCATACAATTTATAAAGTTTTATTTACAACTTGACAAATTATGATTATATAAATTATAAAAGCCATATTTACTTGTCAAGTCCACTTAAAAGTCACCATCTAGAAGCTGTCACAGATTAACATGGATTCAAACCAAGTCTATCTTCCTTGACATAGAATGCATGAACTGGTTGAGTGACTACCATCCGCTTAGGATTGGCATTTCGTTATCTGACACCATATTTCTTTTACTTTTATACAGTAGAAATGTAAGAGATCTTGGAGATGATAAAATATTAAAGCCAGTGATGAGATGTCCTCAGATCTGTGTTTAGCAAAAGCGAAAACTAAGATCTGATTTTAATGAGATTGGTCAGAAATCAGCTTTGCGACACTTCCATATCAGACTAAGCTTGAACAATATGTTGACAAAGTACTCGATTAAAAAATTCAAAACTGAACAAAAGAACATTCTGGAATGTCTAAAACATGGTCGAGAATTTATGGCAGTACATCACACAGGCTATGCAGCGTCTCCTCCGTTCAAATCTAGATACAAGTGTACGATGATTTGACGGCATCAGTCGTACGGGCTGTAACTGTCATTCGGAAGACACCGGTAACCTTTTCGAGATTGCATGATTTGAAAACACATTCCGACTGTCACCTTCCTGATCTGGTAAGCGACGCTCTGATAGTTGGGATGTGTCGTTCTGACGTGACCCGTAATGCCATGTCCCCAGATCTTTGTTTAGAGATAGCGAGAACTAAGATCTATATCAATGAGATTGAAGACAAATCCTATCTACATTCAGACAACATGGCAGTCCGCATGTTCATTTCCAATACACCTGGAAAAACTGGGATGTTGGGAAACGTCTGGACCCAAATCAAACCTATTTCCGAGTTTGTTTGTTGCAGTATTCCAGCTATATGGTCTGCATAATCGAGTTTGGACCAGACAATCCAGTGATTTACATCATCGATATACGCAACTGGGATACATGCTTCAACCACGTGACCACCAAATCCCGCCAGTCTTCTCTTACGAAAAGCATGGTTAGCTGAAGACTAATTCTAACCCGGATCTTTATAGGGGACATTCAAGTTAATCAGGTATCTGACGCACCTGCTGATAGGTAGCTGTGTGTGATGTCATTGAGATCATCTTCCTATTGTGTTATTCCAGCGGGACATGGACACAGCCAGGTAGCTGTGTGTAGGTCATTGAGATCACCATCCTATTGTGTTATTCCAGCATGAATGGAGTGAGATCGTGATGTCTGGCAGGCTATGAATGAAACATCAGGTTGTTCTCTGTACAAAAGATGTCCATGCACAGGCTTTACGGAAGTTGCGCAGTTGGTGATGCCCATTAGGAACTGAAACCTCTGTTAACATCCACACGGTTTCACACTTAAACGTCCTGGGTCGGACACAAGTGAGTGAGTGAGTTTTGTGTAACGACGCTTTGAAAACAACCACAGTTACATCACTGCGTGTCATGAGGAAGTGTAGATGTTGGACGTTTATCACTTTGCCTTAACTCGCGAGCACGGAAATGGTGCTTACAAACCATGAATCATAATCAATCGAAACTGAGATTCGAACCCACTATCATAGGTTCCTGGCACGCAAAGGGACACAACTCTGCATCGTCTGGTCCACCACTGGGCCAAAGTGGCAATATTTCGACCATAGATATATGTGAATTTAAACAGAAAGAACATCGCGTCTGCTGTTGTTGAATGTCCAAGCTGTAGTGAGTGAATGGTGTTAAACGCCGCAGTCAGCAAAAAGCCAGCTGTTGCCATTGGTTAAGAAATCCAAGAAATCAAGACAACAAGGACAAACTATTATTCCAGCTTTACAAATTGCCTTAGAATGAGATCTTTTACTCCGATATGCCTCTTTGCGTTAGTGTGGCTCCCCCTGTGGAATTACACCCAATCTTGCCATTTGGCAGACAATTCTTACATTTACATACTGAAACTGTAGAAAAAATTCAATTGTTCAATTACTTATCTTTGATCAACATGAATATGTTCGAGCTCTTACAAAATAAAAAAAATCGTTCGCGTTTGTGTTCGTTTCGCATTAAAGCATTAAGAGTTACTTCCCTTTAGGATAATTTTGCCAAGCTCCTCACAGCGATAGCCCGTTCGCGGAGCTCTCTATCGCTGCCACCAGTCAAAACTCCCCACTGTGAATAGGTGGCCACAACCATGCTTGGAGTTGAACTCGCAACCGAATGACCGTTATGTTTACAAACAAGTGACGACTGTCGTGACGCCGAATACACTTATCGCTGCTAAATTACTTTCTTCGTTTGTCAATTTGAATTTCTGTTTCATTAAAACTATCGTGTTATTGATATAGTAAGAATGTAAGGGAGAAGTTGGTTGATTTTCCGTTAGTCTGCAAATCTCGAACCAATCTGATTATTAAAACAACAAAGTAAATTCATCTGGAAAACATGGCCAGTCGTAAACCTTTTCAAAATGAAATATCATGGCATTCCCAAAGACATAAACAAAAGTATCAACGTCACTACATATGGGGTTAGAGGGCAAATTTCAAGCTTCTTGTAATGGCCGTGCCCACACTGGTGGCAGCGATGTTACCGAGAGTGTAACGAAGGTGTCACGCGCTGGGAAGGAGCTTGTAATTTTGCGTCGACCCTGCGTATTGTCCGGACGCCATGATAGTAAACCATGTTATGTTCGGCTTGTCTAACTCGCCCGAACCCGTAATTGGGTGTGTCCGTGGCGACGGCTGTCTTCACAGAAGTTTAATCCCCAGTACAGATCAGGACACTGGTAGTTATAATGCTGGAATGCTTATACATATTCAGTGCCACCCGTGAAGAACAAGTTAGAATAGGTCTTCAGCAATCATTGCTTGTCGTAAAAGGCGACCATGCTTGTCGTAAGAGGCGACTGACGGTATCGGGTGGTCAGGCTCGCTTTCTTGGTTGTTGCATGTCACCGTATCCCAATTGCGTGGATCGATGCTCATGATGTCAATCACTAGATTGTCTGTCCGGACTCGATTATTTACAGACCGCCGTCATATAGATTGAATGTTGCTGCGTGCGACGTTAAACAGCAAACAAACATTATTGTGAAAACATATTACTAGATTTGTTTTCAAACAAATATTCAATGCAAATTACATGCCTAAATTCTCCGTGACGCCTAATTATCTTTATAGAGTCTCTGAACACTATCTTATGTGGCGCCGAAAATGTCCGTCGATCTGCACTGCTGCCTATGTAGCGCCACCTGTACACACTAAATTAGTATTTTTATTGAGTCCAACGCAGTCCATCATGTGCAACGCGACTTCTCTCATTCTAATATAGCCAGACAGTGGCACCCGTGTTCTCTTGTCGAGGGATTCACTGAAATTCAATGTCTATGTTGTGAGCTCCACATAAAAGAAACCGACAAGTAATTCTTGCAATTCTTCAACAGCTGGTACCATCGCAATGGGTCAAGGAGCAGCTTGGCTGTCTGAAGCACCTCACAGATCTGTCCCGTATATCTACCAAGAAACTAAAGCCAGCTGGATAGACCTCACTGACACCGCATCCCGAGGGTTTTGTTTTCAGCCCTTTCACAATTTCTCTCCTCCCAAAATGAGAGACAAAATCATTACCTTCTAGCTTCATGAGGGGCGTTGGGGTAGCACAGTGGTAAAAGCGTTAGCTCCTCACGCCGAAGACCCGGGTTCAATTCCCCACTTGGGTACAATGTGTGAAGCCCATGTTTCATGTCCCCGCCATGATATTGCTGAAATATTGCTAAAAGCGGCGTAAAACCTCATTCACTCAAGCTCGGGGACGATTGCCCAAGCAGCTGTCGACTTGTCCGCCTGCCGTACAAGCTTGACTCTTCTTAATGTGAACAGAAATTGATTCAGTTCTCCGACAGATTGAGGTTATATACTTTCTGTGTATTCTGCTTTCATATATTCAAAAGAATCTCATCATCGAACTTATATTGAATTGAGTTTCCTTGGTGATTCAATTCTGTAGAATAATTATTCTACACAATACCTGCACAGCTGAAGTACTTACTTACTTGCTTATTAACACACTGATTTTGTTTTCAACAAATTCCCGGATGCACGCTTTTGAGTCACACTCATCACTGATTTTCATTGATCCATTCATATTTTTGTCACCTTTATTTTACTTTTCGTGGATAATCGAGCCTGGTTATTCTCTGGCGTTGACGTTATGGCCATTGATAAAGTCAACTGTTCAGTTTCATTTATGAAATCCCTTTCAAGAGTAACCAGTTTGTCATCCAGATAATCTATAAACAATTGTAGAGAATTACATTCTCCTTTTACCTTTGACTTAGTCAGTATTCTGTAACGGTAAGTCGTGGATCGTGCTTTTCCACGTGCACCGCGCACCCTACACCACCTTGGTCACGTGACTAACGCACCAGGCTTGTATAACACGTGCTCCCAAACCAACCTGAACATTTTACTCAGCATCACTCAATTACTGTAAATATATGAATCATTTGGAAATATTTATTTCATTTTGAAAGGCTGACCAGATTTCTTAACTGAGGTATGCGTGAGGTACACAATGAAAAGTTGCTTGACTGTGAACACTTTTAAAATACTCCGTCAAAACACAAAAGATATACATTTCAATGTGTTGTCAAGAGAATATACAGAAAATAGAATTCCCTTATTTAATAGATAATAGATAATAGAATGAGTTGCTGCTGGCACCTTATCGTAAGGACCCCCAGCTATACATCTATCCCTATTGCGTGGATCGATGCTCATGATGTCAATCTGCTTTAGACTCGATTATTAACAGACCGCCGTCATATAGCTGAAATATTGCTGAGTGCGGCGTTAAACAACAAACAAACAAGAACAAAAATAATAGTACCCGACACATCCTCAGACAGGTCTACAGGTTTTAAACCCTCAAAGAAGAGGGTTCAGTGATGTATCTCTTAACGAGCTCTGAGTCCGCCATGTTGTGTGCTAGAAGTCTGTCAAACATCTCACTCTGGGCCACGGTGAATATGTTCTTCCAGTCTCCCACCACCCCTGGAACACAACAAGCATTATTTACTAAAGGGTAGCCCAGTGGTTAAAGTGTTTACTCCTCACAACGAAGACCCGGTTCGATACCCCATATGGAAACGGTGTGTGAAGAAGCCCTTGGTTTCTCCCGTCGAGATATGGCTAGAATCAATGTCATATTATCTGAGGGAATTATTACACATATTCACGCTTTCTAGCCAGAACAGGACATACTGCCTGGCTTGAACTTCTGCTGGCGACGAAATAGCTGGTGTAAATTCTCTCTGGGGGCATATGTTGTCGTAACATTCCCATTCGTCACTACTCGCCCCTTTCCGTAACCAGCAAGACGACTCGTCCTCCTATCGATGAATGGTATGTGCGAAAATACGACAAACCAATCAGAATGCGCGTATGATTTCAAGTTCTTCGTCAAAGAATCCCTCAGAAATAATATTTGATTTTACATATGTCTTGCATCCAAAAATATACCCAAGACACAGTTAAATGTGTTCAAACATACTGTATAATTCCGCATGTCCAGATGTGCTTTAAATTGCATTTGAAATATATATGATGTTCGGGGAAATATATGTGAACCATTACGCAACAAGTTGACAATTGTTTTAGGTATGCCCGTTTGCGCTAAGACGGAACCCGGTCGCAAAAATGGCCATGAGAGGGACACGAGTCGCTATTCGGCTTGTCCCGGAATAACACGAGTTGGTCACGAATGTAACATTCCATGCATGGAATACTAAAGACATACCAGTTATGAAACTTGCGGGCTGTGAAGCTTTTGTTTCTGGTACATATCCGGATCTCCGCTTCAATCTGGGGACATGTTCTGTCGTAAAAACTACGTTTGGGGTACTGGGGACATATTCTGTCGTAAAATCTAAGTTTGGGATACTGGGGACATGTTCTGTCATTGGGGAACTGGGTATATATTCTGTTGTTAAATCCATGTTTGGGGTACTGGGGACATATTCTGTCATTACGGAACTGGGTATATATTCTGTTGTTAAATCCATGTTTGGGGTACTGGGGACATATTCTGTCATTACGGAACTTGGTATATATTCTGTCGTTAAATCCATGTTTGGGGTACTGGGGACATATTCTGTTGTTAAATCCATGTTTGGGGTACTGGGGACATATTCTGTCATTGGGGAACTCAGTATATACTAGTTTTCTGCCGTGAAAGTCTAGGAATGACCCACCTTTCCTGTAAATGATGTCCCGGTTGTCGGAAAGAAGTGTATAATTCAGTTTGTCCACTGCCATGTTCTTGAATCCACATTTTTCGGCGATCCGGGAGCACAATTCGTCATTCCGAGACAACCCGAGAAAATCTGACAGCCTCTTAACAGATTCTGTAGGATTCTGAAACAATCCGAGGTGGCCTTGTGTACCATGTTATGTCTACAACAGTGACATCAACCATCAATTCCTGTATCACCTGATGTATAACCTCGGCGCGCAATGCAGGGATCTGTTCACTAGAGATATAGTCTGGCAATGCAGGGATCTGTTCACTAAAGGCATAGTCTGGCAATGCAGGGATCTGTTCACAAGATGTATATTCTGGCAATGCAGGGATCTGTTCACTAGAGGTATAATCTGGCAATGCAGGGATCTGTTCACTAGAGGTATATTCTGGCAATGCAGGGATCTGTTTAATAGAGGTATTTTCTGGCAATGCAGGGACCTGTTCACTAGAGGTATGGTCTGGCAATGCAGGGATCTGTTCACTAGAGGTATAGTCTGGCAATGCATGGATCTGTTCACTAGAGGTATGGTCTGGCAATGCAGGGATCTGTTCACAAGATGTATATTCTGGCAATGCAGGGACCTGTTCACTAGAGGTATGGTCTGGCAATGCAGGGATCTGTTCACTAGAGGTATAGTCTGGCAATGCATGGATCTGTTCACTAGAGGTATGGTCTGACAATGCAGGGATCTGTTCACAAGATGTATATTCTGGCAATGCAGGGATCTGTTCACTAAAGGTATATTCTGGCAATGCAGGGATCTGTTTAATAGAGGTATATTCTGGCAATGCAGGGATCTGTCCACATGATGTATATTCTGGCAATGCAGGGATCTGTTCACTAGAGATATAGTCTGGCAATGCAGGGATCTGTTCACTAGAGGTATAGTCTGGCAATGCAGGGATCTGTTTAATAGAGGTATATTCTGTCAATGCGGGGATCTGTTCACAAGATGTATATTCTGGCAATGCAGGGATCTGTTCACTAGAGATATAGTCTGGCAATGCAGGGATCTGTTCACTAGAGGTATAGTCTGGCAATGCAGGGATCTGTTCACTAGAGGTATAGTCTGGCAATACAGGGATCTGTTCACTGGAGGTATATTCTGGCAATGCAGGGATCTGTTCACTAGAGGTATAGTCTGGCAATACAGGGATCTGTTTACTAGAGGTATATTCTGGCAATGCAGGGATCTGTTCACTAGAGGTATAGTCTGGCAATGCAGGGATCTGTTCACTAGAGGTATAGTCTGGCAATACAGGGATCTGTTCACTAGAGGTATATTCTGGCAATGCAGGGATCTGTTCACTAGAGGTATAGTCTGGCAATACAGGGATCTGTTCACAAGAGGTATATTCTGGCAATGCAGGGATCTGTTTACTAGAGGTATATTCTGGAAATGCAGGGATCTGTTTACTAGAGGTATAGTCTGGCAATGCATGGATCTGTTCACTAGAGGTCTAGTCTGGCAATGCATGGATCTGTTCACTAGAGGTATAGTCTGGCAATGCATGGATCTGTTCACTAGAGGTATAGTCTGGCAATGCAGGGATCTGTTCACTAGAGGTATAGTCTGGCAATGCAGGGATCTGTCCACATGATGTATATTCTGGCAATGCAGGGATCTGTTCACTAGAGATATAGTCTGGCAATGCAGGGATCTGTTCACTAGAGGTATAGTCTGGCAATGCAGGGATCTGTTTAATAGAGGTATATTCTGTCAATGCGGGGATCTGTTCACAAGATGTATATTCTGGCAATGCAGGGATCTGTTCACTAGAGATATAGTCTGGCAATGCAGGGATCTGTTCACTAGAGGTATAGTCTGGCAATGCAGGGATCTGTTCACTAGAGGTATAGTCTGGCAATACAGGGATCTGTTCACTGGAGGTATATTCTGGCAATGCAGGGATCTGTTCACTAGAGGTATAGTCTGGCAATACAGGGATCTGTTTACTAGAGGTATATTCTGGCAATGCAGGGATCTGTTCACTAGAGGTATAGTCTGGCAATGCAGGGATCTGTTCACTAGAGGTATAGTCTGGCAATACAGGGATCTGTTCACTAGAGGTATATTCTGGCAATGCAGGGATCTGTTCACTAGAGGTATAGTCTGGCAATACAGGGATCTGTTCACAAGAGGTATATTCTGGCAATGCAGGGATCTGTTTACTAGAGGTATATTCTGGAAATGCAGGGATCTGTTTACTAGAGGTATAGTCTGGCAATGCATGGATCTGTTCACTAGAGGTCTAGTCTGGCAATGCATGGATCTGTTCACTAGAGGTATAGTCTGGCAATGCATGGATCTGTTCACTAGAGGTATAGTCTGGCAATGCAGGGATCTGTTCACTAGAGGTATAGTCTGGCAATGCAGGGATCTGTTCACTAGAGGTATACTCTGGCAATGCAGGGATCTGTTCACTAGAGGTATGGTCTGAAGTGAATTTTCAAACTGGGACATATTCTGAGCTGAATTTTCAAGCTAGGACATATTCTGGGCATTTACAGAAGGAATCTTGTGACCTCATCACCTGCTTGGTGTCCTCGTAGTTCATCACCAGGATCTGCTGGTCATGTCTCTTTGTCTTGATGACCTCCTCAAAGTTCTTCACATGCTCACACCAGGAGCCCCACTGAACTGCAAGGATATCACGTGGTAGACAGTATGAGTGAGTGGACGGGTGAGTGATTGGGTGAGGGAGTGGACGGGTGAGTGATTGGTTGATTGAATGGACGGGTGTTTGATTGGTTGAGTGAGTGGACGGGTGTGTGATTGGGTGAGTGAGTGGACGGGTGTGTGATTGGGTGAGTGAGTGGACGGGTGTGTGATTGGGTGAGTGAGTGGACGGGTGTGTGATTGGGTGAGTGGCTTAGAAGGGACACAAATCGTAATAGCCACTGGTGACGCTACGATCGAGCCCAGGAATTCCAGCCTAGTTCGGCAAGGGTGGGAACTGGACTTTTAAAGTCAGTTAACTATTTTGCCTCGGGAAGATGGACGAGACACGAGTCCGCCATACTGTGTGCAATAAGCCTGTCAAACATCTGTTGCCAGCCTCATCTGATAAACAGGTGGAAGGTTGAACTGGTTCAGCGTCCTGTTGATAGGGGTGGACTTCAATGCCACTGTGATGGGGAAGGGATCAGGTCCAAGAGATGCACACGAAGGTGATACATGCACGATAAAAAAACAAACAACTTCCACTGATAAGAAATGTATATCACCGCCCAGATGATACCATTAAGGTCAAGACCCGTAAAGATCCGGGGTAGTTTAAGGTCTTCGGCAACCCATGCTTGCCGTAAAAGGCGACTGTGCTTGTCGTAAGACGCGACTAACGGGATCGGGTGGTCAGGCTCGCTGACTTGGTTGATGCATATCATCGTATCCCAATTGCGTGGGTCGATGCTCATGACCTTAATCACTGGATTGTCTGGTCCAGACTCGTTTATTTACAGACCGTCGTCATATAGCTGTAATATTGCTGAGTGCGGCGTTTAAACAACAAACAAACAAATCATCGAGGCAACCCACATGGGTACAATGTGTGAAGCCTATTTGTGGTATCCCCCCGCCGTGAAATTGCTGGAATATTGCGAACAGTGGCTCTTAAAAGCAACATTGCTCAGACCCTGTTCAACAAATCAAGGGGCGGTCGGGTAGCCTTGTGGTTAAAGCGTTCCCTCGTCACGCCGAAGACCCGGGTTCGATTCCCGACATGGGTACAATGTGTGAAGCCCAATTCTGGTGTCCCCCGCCGTGATATTGCTGGAATATTGCTAAAAGCGGCGTAAAACCATACACACTAACTCACTCACTCACTCACTCACTCACTCAACAAATCAATCGTAAGGACACAAGTATCGTAACTCTATAACATTGACTCATCGCATCTCTCGGATCGCTTTGTGAAACGGGCATGTGTAGCTTGTGTGTGTTGGGGGCGACAATACCTTTCCCGTTTATGAAGAGCTCCAGGAAGTCTCCCCAGGTTCCGTCGTAGCCCATCCCTGCCTTGTTGGCGATGTAGAAGTGGTAGAACGACACAGCCACGTCCCGGGGGTCGCGCAACACGTACACAATCTTGTTCCGCAGGGTGATGACATCTCTCGGGAGGTCCTCGTAAAACAAGTGCGTGTTGAGAACCCGGGGGGACGAAACAAGGTCAAGGTCACGTTCCTTAACTTGAGAGAGCATCGCCTTTCCTTTCCACACAGGAACGGTCTCGTCTCGACCAATCAGAAGCATCGAAGTCAATTCAAAGGTCCAGTGTGTTCCTTAAAATATATAATGAACCGTAAATCATTTATGAGTGAGTGAGTGTGTGAGTGAGGTGGGTTTAACGCCGCTTTTAACAGTATTACAGTTATATCACGGCGTGTCAGCTTGATGTGGGAGGAAAGCCCGAAGTGATGCAGGTCTTAGACGTTTACCACTCCGGTGAAACCTACGAACACGGGTATGGTGCTAGCAAACTTAGAAACATAATCGGGGCGAACCGGGATTTCAACCCACAATCATAGGTTTCTGGCGTGCCCAAGGGACGCAACTGCACAGCGAATCGCGGCGCCTTAGACAAACTGGGCCACCCGTGCCCCCAAATCATTTATGAAGTACAATAGTCAACAGCAAGGATGTAGTATCTGATCTTTACATGTGGTCGATAATGTGGGCGCATGCAATGACAAAGTAGACACAATTAATGGATAACAACTTCAATTTAAATCTTTATTATACTGTAATGGCGACGTTTTGGATTAGATCCTTATACCGTTTTCAAGCATTGCTGAAATATTGAGGTGAGGTGAAATTGGGTTTAACGTCACGTCCAAGATTATTGCACTTATATAGCGACGTGCATGCACGTGTGTGTGTGTCTGCTTGTACTAGTCCGGACTGATGCCGATTTACAGCGCTAGCCCACTGAGATACCATGCCGCAGTTTAACATGAATACCCCACTCAGACACAGTATACTGACTCCGAGCCGACCAGCCTTGTTTGAGCCTTCATGCCGAGCGACAGACAGGGTAACAACAAGTACCATCTTTTAACGTCTCTTGGTATGACGCGTTAAAATGATGACAACAGAAGGATGATACTGTAACAACATGATGGACAGAGAAAACAAAATGAGGAAGCCAATAAGACAGGAAGCCAATTGATCAGGATTATGTACACATAGGTGGGGTGATTATTACTGTATGAGTTCATAGTAGGCGATGAGATTAAATAGCATTGATCTCTGTTGATCGATGGCTTGTGGCGGCGAATGTGGACTGCTTGTGTTAGTTTTCGTTCAGTGAAGTCATGGAGGGGCGATTCGCTGTGCAGAGTTGCGTCCCTTGGGCACGCCAGAAATCTATGATCGTGGGTTCGAATCCCGGTTCGCCCCGATTATGTTTCTAGGTTTGTCAGCACCATACCCGTGCTCGTGCGTTTCACCGAAGTGGTAAACGTCTAAGACCTGCATCACTTCGGGCTTTCCTCCCACATTAAGCTCATACGCCACGATATAACTGGATTACTCTTAAAAGCGGCGTTAAACCCAACTCACTCACTCACTCACTCACTCACTCATGGAGATTATTGGATACGATGGTACACTAGATCAGCCAGAAACATCGAGCCTCCCATCAGTGAGGAGGAAAGTTGGTAGAGATCGACATTATGGCTCCTTCCTATTGGGAATTGCTTGAGTCTGTCCTCCTAGAAGCACACCAGTAGGGCAGGACATGCTTACCCTTCTTGTGAACACCTGGTCTCATCACTGATTTTCAGTGATCCATTCATATATTCTTCACCCCTATTTTGGTTTAAACATATTTTAATTTCAAAAGAAATCTGTATCGGTAAACCAGCGAAACGTGCTTATGTAAATACCCCTCCAGGCCATAACTTAACAACAGCTGGTTATATATAAGATAGTGCTAAACATAAACATACAAAATGCACAAATGAAATACACGAGGCCTATACATTGAAGCAAGTCTGTTAGCTAAAATAATGCACGTTTCCATTACTATGCATACAATTAAGCTACTCAGATCTTTTGCTTTTGACAATGAAATCGAGAACTGATTGAAGAATAGCCATGTTTGTAGAACTGCTGACTGAACAAGTGCCATGTAATATTGTTTTAAAATCATACCCATGAGTGTAGAAATACATAGTGTCTCTGATATTTGACAGGTATTATATTATTTGACAAGCTTCAAAATGATATCCACAGGTGCAGTCTGGTATATCTGATACATGTCGTCTAAACTTATCAGTGTTTAAGACACTGCAACCAAGCCTGAGGCGACAGTGAACAATTTGGCATGATCTATGACCGTAGTTTAAGTCAAATTATTAATAATTGTATCAGAACGATCCCTATTTTGACTTATGGCCTTATGGACAAAATCTGTTTCGGTGGATAATCCAGATGGGATTTTCTGCCACAAAAATTACAGTGTTGCAATGTGTTGTTTGGTGTTGTTATTTTTTAATATTTAGGGTCAGAGTTGTTTGGGTTTTTTTTAAAATCCTAGGAATGTATAGTGTTTCCTTTCGGTGTGTTTCACACCTATTTAATCGTAAGTGTTTCTTTTCGGTGTGTTTAACACTTAGTCAGTTCTTACTTTTTCCGTTCGGTGCGTTTAACAACTGGTCAGTAATTAGTGTTTCCTTTCGGTGTATTTAACACCTAGTCAGTGGTTATTGTTTCCTTTCGGTGTATTTAACACCTAGTCAGTTCTTACTTTTTCCGTTCGGTGCGTTTAACAACTGGTCAGTAATTAGTGTTTCCTTTCGGTGTATTTAACACCTAGTCAGTGGTTATTGTTTCCTTTCGGTGTATTTAACACCTAGTCAGTTCTTACTTTTTCCGTTCGGTGCGTTTAACAACTGGTCAGTAATTAGTGTTTCCTTTCGGTGTATTTAACACCTAGTCAGTGGTTAGTGTTTCCTTTCGGTGTATTTAACACCTAGTCAGTGGTTAGTGTTTCCTTTCGGTGTATTTAACACCTAGTCAGTGGTTAGTGTTTCCTTTCGGTGTATTTTACACCAAGTCAGTGGTTAGTGTTTCCTTTCTGTGTTTCACATCTAGACAGTGCTTCGTGTTTCCTTTTGGTGTAGTCAGTGGTTAGTGTTTCCTTTCGGTGTATTTAACACCTAGTCAGTGGTAAGTGTTTCCGTTCGGCGTATTTAACACCTGGTCAGTAATTAGTGTTTCCGTTCGGTGTTTTTAACACATGGTCAGTCGTTCGTGATTCCTTTCGGTGTATTTAACACCTAGTCAGTGGTTAATGTTTCCTTTCGGTCTATTTAACACCTAGTTAACCATAAGTTAATCATCGATAAACTAAAAGAACCCATCGATTTGGAACAGCTCCTTCTCAAGAGGGAATAAATCTTTTAGACATCGATTTAATCCTTCAAAAAGGGAAGTAACTCTTACCTGATCTGGGGTATCCACAAATGATGACGTCATCTTCCCGTAACTTAACGTTAGGGATATTTCTGATAATATCTTCCTTGATAACAAGTGGAAATCTTTTCCCTCCAATGTCTAAATATTTATGAAGATTACCTCCCTTGTCGTGCTCTGTCCGCAGAGCCATGTTGAACACCAGGCAGATGTGTCTCTACGGCGCTGTAACCAAACACCAGCTACATACGAACACATAGCGGCGAAGGGATTGTACGGCAATCTCTTGTCTGCTTTATCATCAAGATATATATCAACAACGGCCAGCTGTGCTGATGTTTTAGCGTTTGAAATGTAGAATATAATTAATATATTATATTCATCAGCAGCACGGCCAGTGCACATACATTGTCACATTGAAATACGTAACAATGACTGTTGCTTGTTTATTCATGTCAGTCAGGAACAACATCAGTTGAAATATTGAAGTTATTTTTAACCTAGAGAATGAAACGGCATATCCTTGACAATCCGGTGTATACTATCGACAAAAGATAAGGGAACTATATAACTGTTTGAATGTCGCTATCGTTCAGGTGTTCATTTACAATGCCGTGGCGTGGCGTTCTGAACGCTATGTCACAATGAAATTTTCGATAATGTATGAACAGCACGTGCACATAGAAGCCAAGCACAATCTTAAAACACTCAGAGTGAGTGAGTGAGTGAGTATGGTTTTACACCGCTTTTAGCAATATTCCAGCAAAATCACGGCGGGGGACACCAGAAATGGGCTTCACACATTGTACCCATGTCGGGATTCGAACCCGGGTCTTCGGCGTGACGAGCGAACGCTTCAACCACTAGGCTACCCGTACGCCCTAAAACACTCAGAGACAGTATCTCAATGAACAGTCAAAATGGTGAAATGTGGGTACGATAAAGAGGGGGAAGTTGCCCGAATGGTTGGCAAAGCGAAAAGTGTAATTTCTCCACTGAGTGCCGTCAAACGGGTGGGGTTGCGTGAGACCTTGCATGGCGTGGTAGGCCTGAAAAAAACGACACCTAGACCAAGATCGTTTCATTACATTAATTGCAAAACGCAATATATTCAGATATGCTCCTGATATAAATAGAACAGGAAATACAGTCACAGGAAGGCGAATTTCAACATCTACCGGTAAAAACTGCTCTTTGCAGCCCGCCTGAAAGCAAGACGTCCTGTGAAAGGTGTGACGCTAGTTAAACGTCACATCGGCAATATTTTAGCATATCGTGACGAAAATTACCATAGGCAAAGAGTGGGCTGTGCTAGGCAACACCAGGAACGGGATGTGCGCTATGGCGTTACACATGTTTACAGGCGAATCAATGTTTTGCCTCCTATTCACAGATGGCAGAAGACGTTGTTAGCGACGTAGCGGCGATCGGTATGCCAGGGCAACAATTCTTGACCATGATCGGTATTTGGGCGGTAGTGTCATGGCGTGTGGCGGTACCACACATGCCAGGCGAACTGATTTGTTGGGTAGGGTAGTAGCCTAGTAAGAAAGGCGTTCGCTCGTCACGCCGGAGGCCCGGATTCGATTCCCCACAAGGATTGTGTGAAGCTCATTCTGGTATCCCCCGCCGTGACATTGCTGAAATATTGCTAAAAATGGCGTAAAATCATACTCACTCACTCTATAGTACCGTGGTCATCGGGTTGATCATTCTCTTGAAAGACAACTGAGTGAAGTTGCAGTCTTAGAATTCTACAAATAGTTCCACGACTTCCCGCGTCCCCTCAACAGGCACCGGGCAAACAGCTAATGATTGACAAGTGACGTCGTTAATTTCATGATGTGTTTGCGTAAGGGGATTCCCGCGAATACCCGGGTTAGAATTGGTCTACAGCAACCCATGCCTGTTGTATGAGGCGACTAACGGGATCGATGCTCATGATATCAATCACTGGATTGTCAAGTCCAGACTCGATTATTTACAGACCGACGTCATATCTCTAGAATATTGCGTAATTAGAGTTTGGCGTTAAATAACAAACAAAGAAATAAAACACAAACGCCTGCAAAGGCACATTCATTTTGGGATATAATTTCGCGATTATTTTATTATATTTTCAAGTGAAAATCAAACACATGACAAAAACAAATGAGAGGGATAGTTTGTATTTTGCTGATCAGTTAGTGTATGATTACAGGGCCCGGGATCATGAAAGTGGTCTTAGCTCAAATTTTGCTAAGCACGAATTTTGTCTTAAGTTTTTAAGATTTTGCTTAGCTAAGATTCGGTCTAAGACTGGATCTTGAAACGGCCTCAGCAAAATCTTAGCTAAGTCTAAGTCTAAGACCGTCGTCATAGGGACACGCGCACGTAATATCGCACTACTGTAATCATTGGATGCCGAGGTTATTTTTCTGACACACATTTTCCAAAGATCGGAAAAGAGAAGGTTGTGCGAGAATTGCGCTCACCCGGTACTGGATCTACCTCTGGCAAAAAATTACGCAGTGATGTAGAAGATCCGGGGTAGAATAGGTCTTCAGCAACCCACGTTTGCCGTAAAAGGCGACTATGCTTGTCGAAAGGGGCGACTAACGGGATCGGGTGGTCAGGCTCGCTGACTTGGTTGATACATGTCATCGATCCCAATTGCGTGGATCGATGCTCTTGATATTAATCACTGGATTGTCTGGTCCAGACTCGATTATTTACAGACCGCCGTCATATAGCTGGAATATTGCTGAGTGCGGCGTTAAACAACCAACCAACCAACCAACACAAGATACTTGTCACCTCTAGGTCACCACCTGTCGAGTTACAACTATGATCCCTACTTTCTCAAACTGAAAATATCCCCACTTTTAGATTTTGATAAAACATGCCTTTGTGGAAAGTAGTTGAAAAATAAACCACAATTCTTTGTAGTCCGTATGTGTATTGTGTGAGTCGCCCATCCGTGCTGCACGAGAAATCATTGATGATCATGATGCACGTGCGCCAAGCTTGAACTTAACAAATGGTATAATCGGTTGTACAAGGAAATATTTAATAATATGCTTCTCCTGAAGTTGTTTTTTCTCTTCGAAGGGATATCTAATTACTTCAATTTACCATGGACATTTTATATAGATAGCATGGTGTAAACCAACAATGTACATGTTATGTACTGAGCAGGGAAAGAATTATTACACGTCCTCAAATTATAGGGTGCGAGTTAGAGCTCCGCTGGCGATCGGTTTTTCAGACAAACTTTAAAATCCTTCACTTGACTGCAATAAATGTCGCTAGTGTGAAGTCATCACTGTCAGGGGCGGTCGGGTAGCCTAGTGGTTAAAGCGTTCGCTCGTCACGCCGAAGACCCGGGTTCGATTCCCGACATGGGTACAATGTGTGAAGCCCATTTCTGGTGTCCCCCGCCGTGATATTGCTGGGATATTGCTAAAAGCGGCGTTAAACCATACTCACTCACTCACTCATCACTGTCGGAGTTTGTACAGGTCGTTGTCCGCTCCCTGGTGACCGCACCAATCGATGTGAATGACCCCTGGTAGTTCTGGCCACTGTTTCAAGGACAGGAGTATGTCACGTGTAGTTGGATATATCTTACCACCGTCATATTTGTCAAACTTCCGGATATGAACATTTAAGTCAACGATCCCGGTCTCAGCTTAACATACACACCATCAGTGAGATGCAGATGACATGTGGGATGCTGGGGGGATGGGTGTCATCATGCACATTATAATTACGTGTACGATCCAGTTACCAAGGATTGAAGGAAAGTATTTGTTTGTGGAATAGAAACTAATAAAAATCCAAACACTTTCCCGAATCCTCGGTGACACGAAGCCAGGTCAAGCTGAGGCGGTGCTTTCCGCTTGAAGCTGAAGTAAAATCTCCACATCCAGGCCAGGTAAATTATTATACTACAACCAAATGTATCACAAAAATGTCCACTGGTATTTTCTGAATTGAGGAAATAATGATCGTCCGGTTGACAAAGAATGCCTTGAAATTACTTAAAGCCATTGAAACACACTCATCGCGTGCTAATTGGTCAGTTCAGTATTTAAGCGACGTTGAGAACAAAACAATAAGACTTCGTCCGTTGTTAATGACGTAAACGATGGTGACATTACTTCATCTAAATAATACATAGTGACGAAAGAAGATCCGCAGGAGTGATAGTGATCATGCGTTGTTGTTTTTTTTTATCTATTTCTTAAAATGGCAAATAGCAGCACTATATATAAATAATCTGCTAGAAAGTAGGAAGGACCGCATCTGTGGTCTAGTGGTAGAGCGTCCGCCCAGAGAGCGGAAAGTCCGGGGTTCGATCCCCGGGCCCGCCATACCAATAGACGTTAAAAGATGAAACTTGTTGTTACCCTGTCTGGCGCTCGGTATTATGGGTCTAAAACAAGGACTGGTCGGCTCGGAGTCAGTATACTGTGTCTGAGTAGGGTATTCATGTTAAACTGCGGCATGATATCTCAGTAGGTTAGCACTATAAATCGGCATAAGTCCGGACTAATACAAGCAGCTAGACACACACGTGCATGTGTAAACGATGATTATATCCTACCTAAATATTATCCCGGGGGAAGTTTTACTCTCGAGTATAGTATAGGATAGGATTAAACACACTGGTATGGGTTCAAATTCACTAGGGAGAATCATAATGACACTAGAGAATTTCATCCCCGGGATATAAAAATAGGGTAGGATAATATTCACTCTTACACATGCACGTCGTTATAAGTGCAATAATCTTGGACGGGACGTTAGACCCAATTTAACTTCACCTAGAAACAAGTAATCGCGGATTATCTGCCCCTGGTTAATGAAGGATGCGAGTCCTTCACCAACAATTCCTCATAGCTCTTGGAGCTTCTGCTAGTATTGGTTACCGCTTACCCAACAATCTATCGAAATGCAAATTGCATCGATAACTCTACATGATTCCACTGAGCGCGTAAACGTGTTTAAAGCGGCAGCAAAGGCTATTGATTAACTGGATTACTGACATGGTGTCCTCAATTGACACTCTCAATTAACAAAAGTAACAATCGCAACTGTTTGAATACATTGACGACACTCGACCAGATATACGGAAGCCTTTCAGGGCCATTTGGTTTTTTTGGTTTTTTTATACTATCTTGACATTTCAAGATATTAAGTTAAAATTTCAAGATATAGA